TGAAATGGGAAGGAAAATGTTAGTATAGTGTAGTACTTAAATCCGGGACCGAACTAGTGTAGTACCTATAAAAATCCGGGACCCAACTAGTGTAGTATCTAAAAAAATCCCGGACCCAACTAGTATAGTACCTAAAATAATTCGGGACCCAACTAGTGTAGCAATTATAAATTTGGGACCCAACTCGGATGCAGCCTTATTAGAATCTAATAAAACTAGGTCTTCAACCGACGTGGTTCCAGAAGTATAATTTTAATTTCGTTATTTTCCATTATGTAATAAATAGTCAATAGCAATATAAAACTATAAGACTGATGAATACAAAGTTGTTGTTTGTGCGATGACTAAAATAACGCACGTACGCCTAACCTTTATTCTTTCGTATCTAAGTTCAACGAACTTAGATAATAATTATAATGTTCATATTACTGTAATTCCTAATAATATCCGGTGAATCCGATAGAAGTCTGATAAATATCAACAAATTATTTTCACCATTATTAAATGGTGTATTTACAATAATTATATTTTACTAGCAATGCTCAGAAATTATTGATATTTTGCGTTACTTTAAATTATTTTTTACCACCTGTAGCTTTAATCTTTTGGCCTCAATTACGAATTATATACCTTGATGTTTTTAAGTATAGTTTAGTTACAATACAGATTATTTTAAAATTACAAACAAAAGTGTGTTAGTATGCGTTTATTTCATTACGGCGCTAAAGGCATCAAAAAAGGTTGGAACCTTATACTACTAGACAAGCAATGAGTGTATGGAAAGCGTAACAACATAGATGGCGCTTTTTGATTACTCGATAACTCGTACCAACGGTAGTGCGGAGAAGCAAGGCAAGATTATAGATGTACAGACTATATTTTTTTTTTCGTAAGACAGCCTACATAAGAGGGCCTTAATAATAATATTATTACTAAGGATCTTTATAGCCTCAACGTCAACGTCATGTAGCTCGTACTGCTCTTGTTATACACAGCTCTTACATAGCAGTTTAAGGTCTATGGTGGTAACATAATAATATATGAAAAAGTATCAATATGTTTATTAATTTCTTCTGATAATATTATATCTAGTCTTAAACATAATAACTCTAATCACACACATACAGATAACTTTATTACCCAATTTATTACCCTTCTGTAATTCTGTGTTACCATCCGTTTTGATTATGGCAAACCATTGACCTATTCGCTATTATAAATAGTAATTATAGTCGATCAATCTGGGAAACGATAAGATTTGAAGTAGTGATGAACCCACGTATAACAGTTGTTGTCAGATAAATTGATCCGGCGGAGGCTGCGTTTTTCAGTAAGTGTAGCCCAAATTAGTCGTAGTGTGTTTCACCAATTTGTTTATCATAAATGTATAAAAATAAATAGCTCGGCTGACAGTGGAAATATTAATAGATTAATATGATATGGAAATTGTGGAATAAACTAATATAGATAGATATTTACTCATTCTCGTTGAGGTTACTAATTTTCGGTAAAAACTATACAAGTACGGAGAACCACTGGCTTTTCGATATCGCTCCACCACATCAATTTATCTTAATATTTATCTGTACGTAATATTGCCCAACTTGATAAGTATGTAATATTTAAATTATAGTTACAAATATTAGATATTCCAAATTAATTTTTGATTTGTATTTGTTGCATTAAAATGTATATTCAATTGACAAATTTACCTGAAATGTTTAAATAATTTTGAGAAGGGATTAAACCTACATATTAATTATTTTATTTTTATATGTTTGTTTTCAGACTTTCAATATATATTTTTTTTTAACAACAGTATCACTGTATCGGTGTATGTTTATGTGTATTGGTGTATGTTTTATTTATGTGTATCGGTGTATGTTTTTTGAAAACCAGCCTCATAGCTGTACAGTACGCAATGTATTATGGGTACCTACTACCTACACATATTTTTCGTTTTATGTACATAAGGAATTAGAGGAAAAGAAGCCCAAAAAACATCAATGAACCAACTATTTTTTTTTTTATTTATCATAGTAACAACGGCTATTAGGCCAATACTTATAGTTATTAACTGTTATCCATATTATGTACAATTAAGTATTATAAATATTGTACTATGCTTTTTCGAATTATAATCAACGAAATTATTTTTAAATTATAAAATAATACAGTTAGGTATATGGCATTTGCATGGACTTTTTTCCGTCTACCACATTTAAGATGATGAGTTTAAGCACGATTTCGCACGCACTATTTATACTTCAATGCTCAGTATTTTAGCCAGAATCGTATTTTAGCCATCGTCTAAAATACTGGAGGCTAAAATATTAGTCAGCTAGAACATGCCAGTGCTACTAGCCGTATTTACCTGTCCAGTACACATAACATTTTTTGGTAAAAAAAAAATTGATCAGACACAATATTTTCAGCTTTTTTGTGCGGTCTCAAATTAAAGTCAAATCTGGAGATATAAAAGGGCACATTTTATAATAATAGTTATTCAGTTTAATGTACTATTTTGATTCTACTACAATTTACTATGTTTAAAAAAATAATTTAATACTCAATAATCATATATTATAGTAATATCTAACTTTCAATAACATTAACAACTTATACAATTTATTTTGTTGTATAATTTGTATTATTAATTTTTGTTTGGCATTAGAGGACTTCGCCATACCCATCAATTATACACGGGCGACTGAAATGTTGTACGTGATCTAGCTTATAAGACCTATTATCTCAAATGTGTTTTTAATCCGTAATAAACGATCCGCGACCGCTTCCAAACTTAACTTACACACAAGACGGATTGACCGAGGGCGGACGCGGATTTCGACCGCTATCACGTTCGCGTCCGCATCCGCTGTTTGCTTACACACGAGGCGGATTATGAATGCTGTTATGAATGAAAAAAACAACAGTCGAACAAAATAAATGGAGGGTTGGAAAATGTGAATTTTAAAAAGTGGAGGGATGCCATCACTAAATATTTTGGCATTAATCTATACTATAGTAGTATAGTACTATATTCTATTGCCTATAGAGTGTATAGGTTACGTATACTTTGGACACATCATTTTAACTGATTAGGTGGCATTTTACATTATACTATATCAAACAAGGAACAACAATGGATTATCTTTTTTTCCAAAAAACCAATTATGAAGGAAATTAAATTTAGGTGCATTACAAAATTAAAACTATAAAAGTAGTTAAATCAACTTTTTTAATTTTACTAAGGTATTATGATGTTAAACCATTTTATTTTATTGTAAGCAATGATTTTTATTTGAAAATCACAGTTTTTGATACCATCATATTTAATTAAATTGCTAAGTTCAGTTGTTGTAATTGGAAATTTCAAGAAAACTGTACTGGCCGAAAAGAGAGTCGCCTATTTAAACTAGTAGGTATGCTAAACGTACTACACAACAAGCAACAACATTTCAAAATGATTGTGACTCATATTTTTTGATATTAATGCTATTAAAGTAAATAATCTTATAATTAGTAATATGGCGGCTGGTTGAATTCATTTAAAGAGGTAGTTTTAAAATTAAATAATTAGAGCTCATTTTTTTAGAAAACAAGTGCTATTAACTAATCTAAGTACGTAATTTAATTATTCTCCATTTTAACTAATATTTTATTCTATAGTATTCGTATAAAAATGATCATTTAGTAATAAAATCATTTTTTTACATTTTTAGTTAGATACATTTTTAAATGTATTTTAAAACATTGAAATTAACTTTTAATGTTTATAAATACAAACTCTATTGTTTAAACAGTTAATGTATATATTAAACTCAATAATGAACACGATAATAATAACTTAAATAATTTTTAAAATAATTGTGGATAACGAAATGGGTACATCCGATTTCACGAAAACTCAGACAGGCAATGTGTGGTAGAGTAGCTTTGATTCGATTAATATTTTTATGACAACAGGGAAAAAATATATAAGAATTTATACAAAAGAGTTTCGTGGTTGGTTTCGACTTTAAGTAAATAGTTGAATAGCTCAATTAATAGATTTTTTTTCATGTTTGCAGTACAGTTGCACAGTAATGAACAGTAATAATATTTTATATTCTTACATAGCGCTATTGCGTCAATTAGTGGGTTTCAAATTATTTAATCGTGTAAATTGCAATTTTATAACTTTTTCATATTCTCGCCCTTAATTTTGTCTAGAAATCTATACATCCTCTTGTTGATAACGACTTTCAACACTTCTTCGTGATAGTCCTCATATACTCTCCGAAGTGAAAGGTCAGAAAGAGCATTGGAGGTTAACGAAATAAAATTAATGATTTTATCCATGAGATTATTTTATATTTTAATTTTGAAGCAACTTATGAGCAATTTAATTTTTAACATTTTTGTACATTTTAAATTTTTCTCATTTAAATATTTTAAATAAATTATGAAAAATATTATGCACCTAATAATTTTCTGTGAGACAATCTGATAGTTACATAAATTACTATTACCAATTTTTTTAGGTTATAAGGTATATCAAAAAATACATTTTTTTATAGGATTTAATATTTATCATCATTATTGCAGTGATGGCGGCGGCTAGGATCCCGTGGTAATTTTTGCGATACGTTTATGGTAATAGAAATTCGGCAATATTATAAAATCGCATACACAGCATGATTGAGCTGTGGACTATTTAATAATATGTACCAAAAAATCACCACTAATTATTATCACTGGAGAGCCATTTTTTATTCAACCAATTCCGGGAATGCATAATAAATTCAGTTGTTACTTTTAAAAATGTCTCGATGTCTAGATCGGTATTATTGTGCTATGAAACAAAGGGAACAGTAAATATTATAATGTAGCACTGAACAGTTAGGAAAAACTATAAAACAACCGTAATTTGTAATTACATTTTTTAATTATTTATATTAGTTGTAGATCACAACGTGTTTGAGCGGTGGTACATTATAGAACAATACCGAATATAAAATATTAGTTCAGGCAATCTAAACGCTGACAACCTGCGTCTGGTTGGCCGACCTCTTTTTACCAGCGAGCTCCTCCTGGATTTCCTGTAGAGACTTGTTCTTTGTCTCCGGCACCAGGAAGAACACGAAACAGGTGCCCACCACGCAACAGCAAGCGAAAAATCCGAACGTAACACCGCGGTTGTAGTGATTCAACAGGGTATGATACGACTTGACAACGCAGAACTCAATCAACGACGCGAGCACGCACACGATGCCGATTGCCAGTCCCTTGAATTCCGGGCTGAACAGCTCTCCAATCATGACCCCCGGTATTGGGCCGAAACCCAGCGCGAAGGTGCTGATATAAATTCCCAAGCTGATGAGCGGTACCAGACTAAACGCAGACACGTCGACGCCGCGCTCCTGTTGATAGAAGTAGAAGGCCAGGGAACCGAGGCACATGGCCATCACCGAATCGGAGATCAGCAACAACACCCGCCGGCCAGCCCTGTCCACCAGCTGCGAGGACGCGAAAGTGAATACGACCTGTATGGGACAATATTGTCGTTATATGATTTCTAATAATATGTGAAGTAGGAGAAGGATGTGGAAAGATATTATAGAATATTATAGAATATTGATCGATTTATATCATTCACACACGATGTTATAATATCTCAACATAATAAATAGTAAGTAAAATTATGTCCTACAAATGTATGACAGTTTTTTGTCGTTCTTCGGACATAATAATAAAAATACATGTACCTAATATGTGGTTACACTCAAAATTCGCATATCATTGCTTTGCATAAAATACTGTCAAAAACGCCAAAACGGTAAGAAAACTGTAGTCCTCCCCGTGTTTGAATAGATCAAGATAATTTTTATTGAAATAAATGTACGTTTCGGTCGTCATTAAGTATTTGAAAAAATTAATTCAAAATAGAACAATTTAAACAGTAACATTTACTTAGGATTTTAGAATATAAAAGTCGAATTAGCAACTGTAGACTATACTTGTACACTATGAGTAAGATCGATGGCGATAACGCGTCAATGCTAATTTCTACAAAGCATATAATCCTAGATTTTAAAATTAAAATAAATATTTGATAAAACAAGTCTCTTCATACAATTGATTGCAATAAACACAGTTGCCATTTGAGTACTCACTTGAAGGACCCCGATGACGATGGAGCAGGCTTTCGGGGAAATCATGCTGTTGCTGCCCTTGAATATGGACTCGGCGTAGAATATTACCACGTTGATACCGGAACATGACAGAAACCCAAGCAGTCCCAAAACTGTGAATGCCGCGCGTAACGTGGGCTTGGATTTTATCATTTCCGATAACTTGCTGTTGGGCTTCTTCTCCTCGAGATCCTTCTGCAGCGCCGCCAGCTCGTCGGAAGTGTCGTAGTCTTTGCCACGCAAGATAATCAACACATCTTCTGCTTCCTTCCTCTTTCCGGATCGCCAAAGATACGTTGGAGATTCTGGCACCACCAACAGTACCAGGACGAACCAGATAGCTGGTAATATGCCGCACATGATAGCCAGCCCCGCGTAATTCACGAACGGACCGATCGAGTAAACGTACAATATGCCCAGCGTCACGTTTACCTGAACGAAAGAGGTCAGCTCACCTGCAGAAAATGTAAGAAGTTTAGACGTATAAAAGTTTCGTATGACATAAGAGCGTTTGTCTTATATACAAATGTATTAACATGTCAATTAGTATATGATTATATCCTGCAATTTGATATGATATTATAATATTATGATTAATATGGGGAAAACAGGTATTATTAATGTTTAGTATATTATAATACAGTTGACTAAAAATATTGTCGAAAGAAAAATAACTGTTCAACAACAATATATGTTTGATTTTTCCCGGAAAGCCGTGATCGATAAAAAGAAGATTATTGAGGTAACACGTACCCTTAAAGGTAATAATAGTTTGACATTCTGTGAACATTTTAGAATAGTTTAAAAAATATTAATTATAACACATAATATTTTACCACGAATACTCATAATACAACGAAAAGTGATTATAATAAATGGGAGATAAGTAGAAATTATGATTTATTTGTGAGAAAATTGTACGCCTTACTTTTAATTCATAAACTTAGTGTTAGAAGACAGTAAGTAGAGAATGAGGGACAAAACATTATAATAATTATATGTATTTATTTTTGCTCACGGGTATACAGTATATATTTATTAAAAATACCAACGACAATGAATTACGACTAATTTTAAGAATTAGGTTAATGAAAAATGCACACATTTCAAACGCTCGTCGATCACATAACCACTCAAAATAATAACAACAAATTGTGCACAGGATCGCTTACCTCTGATGGACTTCTCGGCTATCTCGCCGATGTACATAGGGACGGTTGCGGTGATGCCTCCGAGGCAGGTGCCGGCAATCAGACGCGCCACGTATAGATGCCAGACCTCTGTCGCGAAGTAAATCATTGACCAGCTGATGATGAAAGGCAGGGACAGGAAGGCGATGACGGGTTTTCGGCCGATTAAGTCAGCGGTCCTGCCCGCCGGTATTGACCCGAAGATGGCACCGATGGCGATCAAGGAACCCACCCACGACCCCTGATCAGCCGTCATCTTGATCTTTGAGTCCGCGGACAACAGCATGGGCAACGCCGGTGACATCCACGCCAGCACAGTGCCCACAGCAAACGGACCGATCGTGGCTGCAATGAGAAGGTAGAGGAGATGATGAAAAATAGTCGGTCATAATTATGGCTTTGTAAACACGTAGTTGAAGGACATGACAATAATAATTGTGTTATATATTGGGCGATTGGGATTTCAAAATGATTTTATGACTATTAATAATTCAATAAATATTTTAATTATTTTTTTATTTTTATGCAACGATAATAGTAATTGTAATATTATTGAATAAAATCATTATATTAAGTATGTGTGGTACTCACCGGACAACGCGGCTACGTATTGTCTGGTTGGTCCGGAGTTTTAGATAATACTATGACTATCTACTATTTCGTGGCAAAATAAGTTTTATGTACGAGTATAATAGTGGACACGGCCCTCGCGAGAAACGAAAAAGCTAGCTCTTCCAAACGCAGTTCTGAGTTAAACCTATCTACACCCTTGGACCTTATTAGTTGTTATCAAGATATAGCTTTTGTTTCATCTGCAGGGCTAGGAGCAATAGTCGGTTTCCTATGACGTGTGACTTGAAGCTGGTGACTCTTGTAGATTTGGTTGTATAGACGTGGTAATAGTGAAACCTAATTGGTACAGCGTGAGGCGAAACACGAGGCTCGTCACTTGCGTTCCCACTCCACAGTTTCTCTGTATAGTCACGAACTTATAGCCGAATCAAGCCATGAGTCGCGGGAAGCCGGCTTATAGTCCGGTCAAAATAAATATGTTATGAAGTTTATAACTTATGTATAACTTATTAAGTACCTCATCTGGTCTGTACCAAAGTTAAATGTTTATTTTTACAGGATTATTAAGATCTCCTGAATCCCGATCTACTGACAAATGAGAAATGATTTCTTTACCAATACTCATTACCGCAGTCATTATACTTGGAACTTTGTTCAGTGGTACTTATTGAAATAATCTTTGAGCTACCGATCCAATTATAATTTCTGGACAGATGTCAAGGACCCATTTTTATTGTCTAGCGTCACTAGAGATATTATATGGGTGAAATAATACTAGTTTTCATTGTCTATTGCATCGTTTAAAATTTTCTCT